CCCCAAAACCCCAAAACCCCAAAACCCCTTTGTTCTCGGGCTTTCTGGAAATATTAAAAATATTATAAATATGGATAAAGGTAAGCATCGTTCATATAATTTCTGATGCTAAATTACGAACAACAACACTGGGGTTAAAATTCAAATGATTTACTTCTAATCTAAATGATCTACTTCATAATCTGACACTTCTATAGGTTCTTCAGTGATCCCAAACTCTCAAATATTTAGCTATAATTTCAGAGAGCCTCAGGTTTTATCGAAAGTAAGAAAATTAAGGACTTTCTTTAAAAAATTCTTGTTTAAAATATATTCATTTCTTGCTTAAGAATTAAGGTAGAAAAGATAGGATTAACTATGGATAATAAATTTCATAAATTCTAATCATGTCTTTGGAATAGAACAAGATTATTACAGACAAGAGAAGCAAACTTATGGCATCAAATCTAAAGTGAAGAGTTGGACTGAAAGGTATAAAATTTTTCATGAAATACTACAAATTCAATAATCTATTTTACCTAAGTTGATTACTTTAGTGAATCACTTAATCCCATGATTTTAGAAGAAATAAAGACAAGGAATTTAAGCAGAAAAATAATGAGCGAATTCAGGATCCAATCTCTTGACAAGGAAAGCTCTGAAGTAATGATGATCAGGAGGCCTGATAAGGGATTGTCTAAAGTATCTCACCCATAAAATGCATAGACTAAGGAAAAATAAAAACAAGCATTTAAAGAAGATGCTGAAGCAATTTAAATACTTCCATTTAGACAAATCTAAACGAGATGGTAACTGTTTGATTCTATTGATAGTCTCTAGATCCGGACTCCGGAGAGACCATGAAGAAGCAGCCCCAAGGATTTAAACGGTAACCTATTGTATGATCGTTAGTCTTGGGTCTGATGAAATCATCTACACGAGGGGCTTAAGCAAAAGTATAGTGACTCTAGAGTAATTTTGTAGAGATATAACAATGCCTAACACACTTTTTAAGGTAAATCTCTGATGAGAATTTTAGAATTCGAGGTTAAGCGATCTGGTAGAGTTGAAATAAGGAAAAAGAAGGACACTCAAAGTATATATTTTAACTATATTTAGCTCATTCTTTGCATACAGCCCTGATGACATTGCACTTGTAATTTTTCAAGCTAATTTTAAGGAAGATCAATGTAAATAAGCTCGGAGAGAAACTCCCAGATATCTCATTTAATAGCAAAAAGGTAAACCTTATGATAGACAAGATTTAGAAGATTAAGTTTAAGAATGGCCAGCTTAAATAAAAAGCTCAAACCTTTGCGAACAGTACATTTTTGTGATATTTTAGCTTAAAATGGATACTGATATTGCCAATATTAATAAATGGTTCAGTATTGGCCAGAAAGGACCTAAGAACTTCAAGTTCAGGTAAAATATTGATTAATCTCTTCAGAGAGCCATGTATAGTATCAAGTAATAGGAAAGCTCAATCCCAATCCCAATCAGATATAAAGTATGTCCCAAGCTCACTCAGTCCTCATAATTTAGGCCTGCTTTTACCACAGCAATACAGCCTCGGTTCAGGAGCAAGCTGAGCTCTTTATTCCAATGTAAAGAACCTGCAACCACTTTTTTGAAAGTTTAAGAATACTCGGAATAACTCTATTATTTCTGTTGCACGGAGAGAAGACAAATCATGGAAACAGAAAACTCTTGAAAATTAACACTCTCAAAATGAGCTTTTTTAGCTTGAAATATCTAATAGATTGAGTAAAGAGCTAATCAGCAATTAAAGATACCTGGAGCTTGTCAGTGAAGACTAATAAGGACAACGACACATCAATCATAGAATTTCCAGGCTATCATTATGAAAAATAATTCAATTTTTTGTGAAATTTTGGGGTTTTGGGGTTTTGGGGTTTTGGGGTTTTGGGGTTTTGGGG